TTTTTGGCCCCGGACCTGCCCTTAAAGGGGATGTGGGACCCTCAAACTCTTCCTCATTTTTTACATCCTTGCTGCCAGGAGGTGAACGGCTTAGATCTGCCATAGGTTCCCACATGACATTGTGCCCCTGCCCACCTGAGGCCACATAAGCAGAGTGTCCATCTGTTCATGGACTGGAAACTCTGAGACTATAAGCCAGAATAAACCTTTGCTCTTTATAACTTTACTTACCTCAGGCATTTTAGATAACAGAAAGCTGACTAACACGTTTTAAAGAAATCACCGGAAGAACCCCATTATGGAGTCAGGGGTTGTCCACCACGCTTGACAGGACTTGGTGGTGTCCAAGGGACCGTTCTCATCTGAGTGCTTCCCTGAAGGTAGCATGTCTGACTGCATGACAAGGGTGAGATGACCTCCCCCAGAGAGGCTGGGCCGGTTGCTGTGATGCTGCCGTCAGAGGGCACTGGCTTCCCCGCCGCCTCATGACGTCATAAAACGTCTCGGTAGTCCCCGCCAGGGCAGCAAACAAAGGAACAACCGCCTGTCAGAATAAGTAATCCTGATACTGGCCATTGTCCAAGACACACAGAAGGAATCCCTCTGGCACATGAGTCCTCATAGAGTTGCAGAGCAAGAGGGACCTTAAAATTATCTAAGACTGGGCTTTTGTTTCTGAAACAAGGAAACAGAAGCCCATAGAGGTTAAAGAGCTTATCCAAGGTCAACAGCTAATTCGTAGAGAAACTAGAAACTGGAAGCAGAACCCAGATTGCTCTCTGTGTCCCAAGGCTCCTACATGTGGTCTATGCTCAGATGATTACTGTTCCACGTCCAACATGGAGGCAAAGGCAGCACCCTTAACCCTGGCAGGTGGGCTGTTTCCTATTAAGCTCTTCGGTTGGAAGCCTTGTTTGTGACCAGTGGGAGGTGGGAGCTTTGGGACGGACATGGTGGGCCTGGAACTGTCTACCCTAGGGCTGGCAAGCGTCTGCCCCAAATTGCATGAGGCCCTTCAGCAGAGTATGCTGCGCTTCCTTCAGGTAGGTGCCGTAGGCCTGATACGACTGCCTGTGCAGCAGCAGCAGCAGATCAGTTTGACGAGGGCCCCTCCTTGCACCAGGGTTAGGGTCACCCTGCATCTTCTGAACCCCTCCACTCTGGCTACTAGCCTGCCCTTTTGCAGCCTGGGGATGTTTAGCACTATTATCAGAGAATTTCTAAGTGACGTGATACTCCCGTCTGTTGGCCCAATGAGACTGTTCTAGGTCACAGATTCCCAGACACCCCAACCCCTGGGATCAGCTCTTGTCGGGTTGGAGATGGTGGGGAGGCTGTGTTGGGCAGGGAGTGAGCTCCGGTACTGCAGGAATGACTGTGACGTGGTGATAAATCAAGCCGACGTGCTGTTAAGCAACAGGTCTGTCCTCCACCCTGATAAATTCGTCTTTATAGCAACAAAATTTTAAAACATTTAAAGGCTGTGACTACAAGTCAACAACTACCAAAGACATCTGAATTTCATTATATATATATATGTGATCTTTGCCTTCTTGCTCCAGATTCTAGTAATCAAGATTGTAAGGGAGTCCTAAACATTTTTGCAGGATTATTGATCGCTCCACTCTATGCCATTTCCCTCGTTCTCTCCCTCATGGATGTCCCCTGGAAGCCCATGTGTTAGAGGCTTGCAATGCTACTGGGAGGTGATGGAACTTGTGTGGTGGGGCTGTGGAGGAGGTCAGGTCACTGAGGTGATTGTGAGACCCTGGCTCCCGCCTCTCACTTCCTGGCTCACAAGGTCAGCAGCTGTGCTGTGTTACGTGTTCTGCCATGATGTGTTACCTCGACACAGGTCCTCAACCAGGGGCCGACAGACCATGGACTGAAACCTCTGGTACTGTGGGCCACACAAACATTTCCTTCTCATGAGCTTGTCTTGGGTGTTTTGTCACTGTGGCCAACGCTGAGCACAATGTGTGAAGCTTTGGGCATAACCACTCCAGGAGCTGCTCTAAGGGATGAGGTGCTGACATCCACCATAACATGGGGTGACAAACTCAGGCTAGTGTTGGTTGGACTCAATATCACAGTGGCTTTGCTGCAGTCGATGTGAGTTTCTGAAATGGGAACTACTCCAGGCAAAGTTCTGAGCACAGCCAAGCTCAGCCGTCCCTGGAAAGTAGAGTCCTTAGGACAGAGTTAGGGTCGGGCCTCAGTTAAGCACGCTCACATGTGCCAGCCAACTCATGCCCTTTCGGGCATACCTCTGTGCTTTAATTTCCCATGGCTGCTGTAACAAATCATCACACACTTAATGACTCCAGCAATACAAGAATATTCTCTGATATTTCGGGATACCAGAAGTCCAAATCTAGTTTCTGTGCAAAAACAAGGTTTTCCCAAGGCTACTTCCTTGTGAAGACTCGAGGAGAGAATTCACTTTCTTCTCTTGTCCCAAACGTGAGGATCACCTGCATCCCTTGGCTGGTGGTCTCTTTATCCCATCGCCTTCTTGGACTCCTCCTCTTGCATTTGGTAAGAATTGTGATTACACCAGTACAATCCGTCCATCTCCAGGTCCTTAGTCACATCTGTGAAGCTCCTTTTGCCATTGCTTGGGTTTGGATCTTGAATGTCCCCCGAAAGGGCTTGGGCACCAGCCTGTGGAGCTGTTGGGAGGTGTGGCACCTTCAGGAGGTGGGGCCTGGTGGAAAGAAGTTAGGTTGCTGGTGGCATGGCCTTGAAGGGGATGTGGGGACCCTGGCTGCTTTCTCTCTTGGCTTCTTGGAAACCATGAGATGAGCAGGCTTCCTGTGCCTCTTCTGCCTCGAGGTGCTCTGCCACCACAGGCCAGACCATTAGTAAAAATAAGGTAAATTGAACTTCTCAGATGTCTTATCACAGTGACAAAAAGCTGAGTGACATAGCCATGTGAGGTGACAGTCACATTCTGGGAATGAGGACATGGACATCTTTGGGGGCCCATGTTTTTCTGGGCCAAGACTTAGATTCCGCTCTTGCTGCAGTATGCAATGTCACACGCACACCTCAACTTCTGGTAAAGAGCGGCTTGCCTCAAGGACATGCCAGGGAGCTTCACCCTCTGTTGTGGACTTCTCTTCCTGGATGTCAGTGGAGCTGCCTTGCCACCCACATGCACAGGCAGGAGGTGGAGGTGGCACAGGCAGGGGACTCGCTCAACCACTTGGGATGGTAGAGAGAACTTCAGGTGACACAGAACCTGGCTGCTTCATCTCTTCCCCTCCCTGGCTAACTACTGGTTGGTCCGGGCTCTCCAGAGAAGGACAGCTATCAGCACAAGACAGAGAGACAGGTGGATGGATAGGCAGACAGACAGACAGACAGACAGAATATAGATTTAGTATGAGGAGTTGGCTCATGTGACTATGAAGGCTGGGATGTCTCAGGCAGCCAGCTGGAGCTCCACAAAGGCGAGGCTATAAGGTCACACCAAGTCAGAGTCCCTAGCTAGCTAAGGGCAGCTGTCCCAGCTTGAAGAGAGTCAGGTGGAGGGAATTCTCCCCACTCAGCCTCGGGTTCTATTCAGGGCTTCTGAGGAGTGGATAGGCAAGGCCATCTGCTCACCCTGTCTACAGAGCAAACGTTCCTCTCAGCTAGAAGCCCCACCCACCCCCACCCACTAGTGTCTATCTGAATGCTTGCCTCCCCGCTCTCCATGGCCCAGTTAGATCAGCACAAAATATTAATCATCACGCTCTCCTTGTTCCTGAAGCCATGGCCTCAATAAATGACTCACGAAGCTACATTTCGAGCTCTGCTTTTGGGACAGCCCAAGGTAGACAGCAGGGCTCCCATGGGTATGGATGACATGTCATACATTCAGACGGCACACCCAGCAGCTCTCCTCCAGGTGGGACAGTCTGTGTCCATCAGGAACACGCCGTTCCCAGCACCTGCAAACCGAATCCCAGTAACATCCTCAGTCACCACAAAACCAAAAGAGCTCAGTCCATCGCTCCAGGTCCCACAGGGCAGAGCTTTCCCACCCTCCTCTATCCCCACACTGAGAACCATTTGCTGAGAGGAACCAGCCTTCCGGGGTGGCTTGACCAGGACTCCAGACCAGCTTTCCAGTGAGGCAAGCTGTCTGCAGCTGCTTCGGGAGAAAACCCACAGACTCCGGGGGCCTGACGGAGGGTCACTGCTTCTATATTCCCAACCGGTGACATCACATACATGCCGTGGTCGATGACGTTCACCTAAGGTGTGGGATCTCTGGGAGAGGGACAGGGAGAGATCTGAGTGCTGTCAGGAAGCTTTGTAAGGGACCGAGGGTGGTGGGCAGGGACCAACATGTGCACACTGGAGAGCGTGGTCATTCCTGGCTGAACCAGCTGCCTGCAGCATGAAGAGCAGCAGAGTTGTGGGAAATTAACTAAAGGAAAAAGCAGACTACGGAGCATTTAATTTAATTAATACAATTGCTTCCCTCTGTACCTCAGTCGAGCTTCCCACCTCCTCCCTCATCACCTGAGCATGGCCAGAATGCCGCAGAGTGTCTGCTCCTCTGAGGCTGGATCTTCACTCTGAAGCAGTGCTTGGGCATTCTGGTTTATACATCACTCTCTGTGAGTCAGATTAGTGCTAATTAGCCACTGAAAAAAAACAGGCACCTCCACGGTGCGTGACAGATTACCGAGCATGTATGACTGAACCTAACTGCGGTGATCTCACCAAGTTAATCCTGACCCCGAGAGGCCTCTCCCTGGTTTCTCATCTCTATGCTGCCGTGCTCCATTGCTCACCCACCTCCTGGAGGGTTCTTAGTTTAATTTTGCAAGTGGAGAAACTGAGGCTTGGAGAGGGTGATTGTCTAGGGCACCAGCCAGCAGGGCAGGGAGCCAACAGAGTCCAAGTTCATCTGACCACAAAGCCTCCCACTTACCACCCTACCTCGCCATATATTACCAACAACTAACAGGTAAACTGAGTCTCCCAAAGCCCCTCCTCCTCACAGTGATAGTCTGCTGTGCTTCGTCATACGGCGATGGTGGTGCAGGGACACCGTCCCACTGTCCCTGTCCCCGCTTCTGCTCCTGCGCCCTACAATGGCAGGCTGTGTATGAGTCAGCAGGAGCGCGGCCCTCTCCCAAAGCGAATGAGGGACTGGGCCCCAAAACAGCAGTGACCCCACAAGGTTTATTAATGCAAACAAAGTGTCATCCTGCAGTGGGGCTCCAGGGCTCCAGGCAGCCTGTGTGACTCCCAGAGGGACAGAGAGGGAGCCCAGCTGCCCACTGCTGCTTGCGGGGAGCAACTGTTCTTCCAGCCCAGACCACATGTCCATAATAGGGAAGAAGAGCACGGCCCTATCAAGGAGGTTTTATTAGGGCCGGAAAAGAGCAGAAAATGTTTCCTTGGCTTGCAGTCTGTCAGCCTGGGACTTCTCATTTCCCTCTGCTCCCCTTATCCTTCCCGCCCCACGCCGGCTGTGGTGTTTTCGGCCTTTGGCTCACATGAGCATTTATTTCCCATCTTGAGTCTGTTGAGACGATCCACAGTGCCTCCTCGACCTCGAGATGAGCCGGAAGTCATGGATGCGGTCACGATTTGCCGTCTGGTCCACTGAGCTGCCGGACAGGCTGGAGGAGCCAGACCTGGCCATGGGGACGCAGTCTGAAGGGCTCTGAGTCATGGGAAGCCCAGCCACGTCTAGAGGTGAGGCCATCCACTGCTGGCATGGGAAGGAAGCAAGGAAGACGGGCACCTCCTCAGGCCACGGCTCTGGACTGCTGATGGCTGCTGTTTGGTGGAGACTTTTTGCTGTTGTTTCCAACGCAGAGAGAAGGAGCTACCAGGCAGAAAAGGTTGTGAAGGACTCAAAAGTGCTTCTCGTTGGTTCATTGCTTCATTCCTTCACCCCACAGCTCATCCCAAGCACTGCTGTATGGGAAAAAGCTCCGAACATCTCTGTCCACCCTGTACCACGTGTCCAGGAAGGCAGTCTCCCGGGCTGGGTGCTTTGTGGTGCGTGGGAGCACAGTCCTCCTGGGACCAGCCTCCTCCTGGCTCTGGGCTGCAGTGCTCTCTCCCGCTGATCCTCCATGTGTCTTCCCTTCCTTGGTCATGTCCCTGATACTGGAAGGGGAGGCAGGGGCCAGATCGTGCCCTTCTGAACTCCTTCCAGCCAGGTCTTTCGATGTCTGCTCTCTGGAATTCAGGCTCCTCACCTGTAATGTGGAGATGGTCCTCTGTCCTGAGTGAGTGACTCACTCAGTAAGGCTGGGAAGCACACAGGGCCTGTAATTATATGAGCTTTGTTGGGTCCCACCATTTACAATACCAGGGACACTTGAGAGCAGTGGATAGCCCCAAACAGGGTGGCACAGCCTGACATGGTGACCCCCAAGGAACCTCATGAGCTCCTACCTACAAATGTCCAGATCTACAAATATTTTCTTTACAGAGAACTTACTTAAAAGTACCAATGTGTTATGGACATGTACCAGCTCCCATGATGAATGTAAGCATCATATACTGTAACATGTACTAATAAACAGAAAAAATTTAAAAAGGTACAGGGTCTGGCCCGAACACCGGCCCATGGACAACCGGATAATCACCGTATTAAATGTCTAGGACAGAATATAGTTCAGCCCTGAAATGGAAGTACCCGTGCATGTCCCCATGTGGCTGAGTCTGAGAGAAGCCAGGCATGGAATGTTACATCCTGTCGACTCCACTTATGTGAGCTACTTAGAGGTGGGGACTCCTCAGTGAGGAGCATTCCTGGGCCACGGAGATGTCTGGAGCTGGGTGGCAGTGACAGCTTCATGTGAGGACAGAGTATCAACAGTGAGGGTTTGTTCATGGTGGAGGCTAACGTGGGGCTGTGCCTGCCCAGTGTGTGTAAAGCTCTGGGATCTGTCTCAGGTGCACTCGATAGAGAGATGATAGGTAGACAGATAGATAGTAGATAGATGGTAGATAGATGATAAATAGATGATAGATAGTAGATAGATAAATGGATGATAGCTAGATGGCTGATTTTACCTTATATGAATTTTGCCCTAATAATTCTTTTAAACAAAGGAGCCAGTAGAATGATAATCTCACAACCGGGCCTTAGCCTGCTATGCACCGCAGGATGAGCTGTTCTTCAGGCTCTTTGAAGGGTTCTCCTCAAATCTCTCCGTTCAGCACCTTGTGCTGCCCTGAGAAACCCGACTGTCTTTGTGGTTTTCCTTCCTCTAGGAATTGAGGGACTCAGCCAGTGTTTCCACCTGACTGCTTGGCTCGGCTTGGGCCCCTGTGGGGCAGTGTGAGCCAGGACACCTGAGCGGTGTGTGTCTCAGAGAGCGGTGCAGGGGTCCAGGTGGGCCTCAGAAGCAGGGCCCTATGTGGGCCTACATGAGGTGTATCCCGAAATGTTCATGGTGCACAGGTTTCACCCTTGGCTGCTGGGATGCGGGATGCCTATTTTAGCTTCCTTTTTAAATGCTTAGTTAGGGCTTTTAAAACAATTCTGCAATAAATATAATTTGTTTATGTTGCTTTATTTTACTTTGAGACTTGGAATTGAACCCAGGACCTCATGTGTACAAAGTATATACTCTACTATTGAGCTTCACCCGTTTATATATTTAAAGAAAATGCTATGTTGGGGTAGCCTGTTTAAAGATCCAATATACACTTATTAGAAATGGTATTCATCCATCAGAACTCTACAATTCCAGGTGATTGCTTCTGGATCCCTGGGAGGTGTGAGGCTTGTAAAAGTGAAACTGTCCCTGAGCTGAGATGGCACATAGTGATCGCCACCCTCCTGTGATGTGTGTGGTATCAGGAGCCTTCACAAAGCCGTATGGAAACATGGGGTGGGGACTTCACGCTACCTAGAGGAGAAAGGCAAAGTTCTTCTAGAGAAGACGCTTCAGAGCCAGCCTGGCTCGGCTCAGCTCGACGTGTCGCAGCACTGCTTCCTCTCTGTGCGCCTGCATTCTGCTGCATCCCCGTTCTTCCTCCAAACGCCATCATTACTCCCTCCTCTGAGTCACGCGTCCCATGCCGATGGTGTCATTCATGTGCTCTGTGCTCTGTGCCGCTTATCTTTCCATATGTGTTGCCTGATTATGTCACAGTTGCTTTTGAGGACAGCAGCTATTATTCTGTAGCTTTCCACAACCATAGAATCCTAAAAAAATGTTGTTTAATGTTGTTTGCAGTTATCAATATATCCATTAATAATTTAGTGTGTATAGCAGAAGACCCTTTACTACTCGGCTCTTAAAATTCTTAAACTACATTCTTAAAAGACTCACTATCATAAATTAAGAATTGAGGGCACAAAGCCAGACTATTCACATATGTTCTCTGTCTTTGAGAGAGACGAGAGTAGACAAAAGTTGTGGAAAAATTAAAGTTTCACAAAGTTATCAATTCATTCATTGTATCAAAAATGGAAACTCTGAGTAAAATATGTTCCCACATAATTCAGCTTTGTTTAGAAACAAAGTCAGGCACTAAGAGTCATTGTCTAAGTTGGAAATGATTCTTTCTTTAGAGTAAGGGATTATTTTGGAAAAGCATTCAGATAAACATCAGCATTTTCAATTTATCTTTGGAAAGGTTGTTGCATTAGCTTGGTTTAGGCCCAAGAGGAAGTAACAGAGAAGCCAGAGTAACAGCAGCTTCTGTGCTCTAGAACTTTATTCCCTGCTCATGCTTAGGAAGTCTCGGTCAGTCAGTCCAGGCCTGGTGCTGCTTTCCACTCTGGCAAGAAACTGGGGCTTCTATCTTGTTGCACTGCCACCTGTGGCTTCCATTCCCAAGGCCCAAGATAGCTGCAAGAGCTCCAGCCATTATGTCTGCAGTTCAGAAAGCAGAAAGGATGAAAAGAGAAAGAAGGATATTCTTTCTAAGGAACTTCTAGGAAGTCATCATTTTTTAACACTACATTTGTCAGAATGGGTTGGGGAACCATGACTGCTATTCTTGGCAGCAACATGCCCAGCTAAATATTAGGTTACAAAGGTTTTCAGTCTATTTTTTGTACCATTGGCCCCTTTAGTAGTTTAGTGAAGTTTAAGGATCATGTATCAGAATAACATTTTTACATGCATAAAATGCATAAGAACACAAAGGAATCAAATTATACTGAAATACGGTTCTTCTGCACAAACATTTGAGGTCTGTAGAACCAAAATATTCCTTTGTTAGTGTAGAAAATAGGGCACAGTTTTCAGTTTCTTATGCTTAATACAGGGAAAATAAAACTCTTCTGAATGGTTTTATTCACTAATTAAGGAATTGTGGAGTTCTTTTTTAAACCTAGTCCAATACTATAGTTTATGATGGATAAAAGAAAAGACGTAGCCTCTCCTCTGTTATTCTGTAAATCCTTTAGGCACTTAATAAAATAAAGACTATTCAGCTTATAAAGGTGGATAGTTGCTATAGTTTGGGTCTGAAATACATTTCTCAAAGGCCCATGTGTTAAAGCTGAATCTCTGGGTGGGAGGTGCTAGAACCCACCCTTAAGAGGTGGGGACCAGTGGGAGGAAGTTAAGTTGTTGGGGATGGGCCCTGAGGGGGTTTGAGATCCTGGCCCCTTCTCTTCTTCTGCCTTTGCTCCCCTGCTGCCCTGAGGTGAGGAGCTTCCTCCAACACATGCTCCCACCATGATGTGCTGCCTTGACACAGGCTCAAAAGCAGTGGGACAACCAACAATGGACCAGAACCTCCAAAACTGTGATCCAAAATAAAAATCTCTTCTCTGAAGCTGATGATCTTAGGCATTTTGTTACAGCAATGCAAAGCTGACTGACACAGTGACCTAATAGGCCAGATCCAATACACCAGAATTTAGGGAGTTCAAAGTAAGAGAAAGGTCATGTAGAGTCAGCTGAGACTAAGAACAAAAAAATTAAGATTTGTTCTGGAAGAGAGGAGTGGGACTGTGTTTTAAGGGAAGGAGTGGGGAAAACGCAGTGGGTGGAGATGGTGACACGAAACTCCTAAAATGTTCTAAAAAAAAAAAAAGTCTTAGGAGAGGAGACTGGCAAGGAGAGGCTGTGGGTTTGAGTTTCTGAAAATAAAAGGATGAAAAAAACTAAAAAAAATATCCAGGTGCACATAGTCAGTGTATAAAAATATATAGAATGAACTGAAAGCATAAACTTCAAATTTCTGGCAGTGGTTGTTCTTAAGGAGATAAACTAAGGGAATAGCTAGAGAGACCAACATTTTATCTCTAACATTTGTTTCTTTAAAAGAAAAAGGGGGCTGGAAACAAATATGACAAAATGTAAACTATTAAAAATAAATTTTGGAGGCCAGGGATTTAGCTCAGTGGTGCCACTGCTGGCCTCACAAGTGAAAGGTCCCGAGTTCAACCTCTAGTACCAAAACAAACAAACTAAACAAATTAAATAAATACATTTTTGTTATGTCAATTTTCTATTTCTAAACATTTCCCAAGCTTAAAAATAGAAGTCATTACTTTAAATCTTTTAAATGCATTTCTACTATTTTCTAGATATCATTTAAATTATGCAATAAATTCTAGCTACACTTGCTCTAAAATTCCGTGTTTACTCCAAGGGGCTGATCTGTGACAGCGCAGCACAGCAGCACCTTTCTGCCCCTCTGCCCCAGGTCTGGAGT